GGCATTGTCCTGCCCTCGTAGTCACTGCCTCAGTCATCGGAACACAGGATGGCTCCTGGCCTCCTTTCTTGACATGAATGAGGCATCGGGAAGCCGTTGCTCCGGAGTAGAGTCTGGGCAGCACATGTACACAGACAGTGCTAAAATAAAAAAAAAAAAAAAAAAAAAAAAAAAAGGAAGCTTGGAACTCTCTGGGATGGTGCCTCCCAAGTAGCTGGGATTACAGGTGCCCGGGAACGGGGCTCCCTTTACACCGCCCTCTAATGTTCTCGCTAGACCTACTCCCTCTGTGCTGGTGGCATCCCTGGCCGTTCCTGATGGTCCTTCTCTGGTGACAGTCACTGGTCTGGACTCCTTCGGGGAGCTGAGAGTCGTGAAGGTGCTCCGTGTGCACCGTGGCTGTCTTGCTGGTGCTTCTGTGGGCAGTGACCATGGTGGACAGAGTGTGTGCAGAGCTTGGCCAGGACCAAGTTTCCTGTGGTCATGGCTCCCCACGCATGGTGCTCACTGCGGATGGTTCTTGATATGGACAGTCCCAACCATGGTTGCAGCTTGTTTCTTCTGAGCTCATCGTGGTTGGTGTTGGTTGTAGATGGCATTCATCATTTATGACGGTTTCATCACGGAAGGTTCTAACTCGTGACAGTTCTTAATATTGTCAGCGTTTGCCATTGAGAACAGCTGTCGCCACTGACGAGTTTTGGTACAGGGGGTCCCACCAGGATGCTGCTGATGACAGATGGTTTTGCCATTGATGGATCTTGTTATAGATGGCTCGTCACTGAAGTTCATAGTCTCGATATCATTACCCCTCACTGTTTTGACACAGGTGGCCTCAGCATTGGTGAATCTTGATACTACAGCTCTTCCTACCAACAGTGGTTCTCAGTATGGACAGTCTCCTCACTGACTGCGTTCTCGGGATAGGCGGTGCTCAGCATAGACCCTTCCTGCTACATGTGGCCTGCCCACTGATGCTTGTTGCTACAGATGGGACTACCCATTGATGGTCCACACAGTCAGTGTATGCTTTTGAAAACATCTTTCCTCCTTGCTTTGGGAATAACCACTCTGGGTCCAGCCTGGGTTCACTGGGCCCGTGTGCCATTTTCCAAGAGACTCTGGCTGCTGGAGGGGATTCTTACGAAGGCATGCACACCTGGGCAGGCTGCTCCCCGTTGGTGACCTGCTCACTGGTTTTCACGTTGCCGCCCGTCTTGTCCTCCTGCACACTGGTGTGGCTGCTCTGCCCGTTTTGGGCACTGCCTTCCAGCCCAATGCTCTGACGGCTGCTGGCCTGGGTGGAGGGAAGGCTGGCTGTGGAAGTCAGCAGCCCGCTGCTCACCTGGTAGGTGAGGGCACTGCTGCCAAAGCTGATGAAGCTGGCACTGGACGGGCTGCTGCCGCCGCTGCCCGGCAGGCTGGCCTCACTCTTCCCCTCCAGTCTGCTTGGTGCTGTGGGCGGGGCCAGTCAGCTGGCTCTTTAGGGACCTGAGACGGTCTGTGGAGCCCAGCTGGCTGGTTTGGTTGCTGGCCGCCTGGGTGTTGAGCCTTCTGTTCAGCCGCACTCTCCGGTGGCTGCCCGCTAAGCTGGTGCCGCTGTCCTCCTTGTCCCCTGCGTACCCGCTGCTCAGGCTGGTATGGCTGCACTCCTCCGGCCTGGGATGCTGCACACTGGACACATGACTCTCGCTGCTCTGGGTGTCACTGAGGTTGCTGCTGGCCACTTTCAGGGGATCCTGAGCTGCTCCTGCATGGTGTGGCCACTCAGGGGACTGGAGCTCTAAGCCGGGTGACTGTAGGCTTGGCTCTCCGTCCTCCTCATTCCGGACAGACGATTCCCCTTTTTCTCCCTTGAGAAAAATGGGGGGCAGCTGAAGTGGTTTATCCAGGGAGAGGGGGCCCTGGGAGGCCTCTGAATGTTGGCTGTGACCTCTCTGGGGAGAGGTGCCTCCGTATATAAGGCTGCCCTTTGAAAACTGTGTGTTCTGAGTGGCTGGCTCAGTTCCCATGGTGATGGGGCTTGTGAGGTGAAGGCGGGTGTGGGAGGGAGAACAATGCTGTCCTGGCACCAGTGCCATCAGTGGCCTGGCCTGGAGGGTAGGAGTGGGGCAGAAAGGGGCTCGTGGCTGGAGGGGGTGGGGTGTCACCCTCCTGGGAGTCTTTCTGAGGAGTCTGTGGCCAGACATCAGGTCAGGGGCCTCAGGCGTGTGTCCCAGCCGAGTCCCTATGAGCCGAGTTGCTTCTCTCCCAAGTCTCTGCCTGCTTGCTGAGTGTTTTTGTTTGTTTGTTCGTTTTTGGTTTTTTGTTTGTTTTTTGAGATGGAAAATCTCACTCTGTCACCCAGGCTGGAGTGCAGTAGTGTGATCTCGGCTCACTGAAAGCTCCGCCTCCCAAGCTCAAGCGATTCTCCTGCCTCAGCCTCCCAAGTAGCTGGGATTACAGGCGCCCGCCACCATGCCTGGCTAATTTTTGTATTTTTAGAAGAGATGGGGTTTCACCACGTTGCCCAGGCTGGTCTTGAACTCCTGACCTGGAGCGATCTGCCCGCCTCAGCCTCCCAAAGTGCTGGGATTACAGGCGTGAGCCACCGCACCCGGCCTGCTGAGTGGTTTTGAGGACAGGAGGGAATACAGCAGTGAGGAGTATAACCTAAATTCCTTGCCAGATCATCAAGGCCCTCGCCTGGTCTGGCTCTCCCGACTTCATCACACACCACGCCCTGCCCCTTTCTCACCTCAGATGCCCGACCAGGCTGAGCACTCTCTTATTGCAAAAGGGACCCACAGCCGGGTGCACTGGACCCCAACACTATGAAACTGGGTTTCTGAGAAAAGCTTTTCATTGCAGGTTGACTCAGAAAGAGGCAGGAGTCAGCTCAAATCTTTCTCCCTGTGCTGGCTTTAAGGCAGTAATTTTATTAGAAAAGGTTTAGGGAGTGGATTCTGAGAT